TGAACCACATCTAGACGATCCAGAACTGTTACCGCTTTTCTTGAAATTTTGAGTTTTTTAAGGACCAACAGACAACTGCCCTCTGTTATTTTTTTAAGTATTACTGTTATCCTCATCATCATCATCATCAGGGGCATTCTCAGAATCTTCTACACGAAGTAAAATCTTAAAGAATTTTCAATAGGTGGAGCATGGAGTAGAAGCCGCCAAAAAACGCAGTCCTTTATGAGTCCCCTTCTTAAACTGACGAAATATCTCTCTGGGATTCTTCGCAATAACTAGACAATATCGAAATAAATCAGAAAACCTTCGGTGATACTCTATGGCTGACATTTTACCCTGCTTCAATTATGTGAACTCGTCTCTCTTTCGATCCTGGTATTCATGAGGTGTGAATCTAGCCTCAAATAGGCACCTAAAAACAACCAAGCTCATGACATCCTGAGCAGACAACGGGCGTGACTCTTGAGACCACCATGACTCAACTCCCAGATGAAAGAACCATGTTGTTGTTTCGACCCATCGTTCTGCTAGAAGATTCCCCTGTCGCTGCATAACGCGAAAAGTATTTTCAACATAGTCGATCCAAGCCTCGGATTTCTCGGGTCCCTCGTTGGCAAAGAAATTATTTATCTGAAGATGAGATATGGTCTCTAAGGTAGTCCGTTAGGGAGGATGAAGTGTTGATTGAATGGAGCTGGCAATAGCCACACTAAGTTGCCCAAAATTAGGAAAGTTTGTTTCAAAAGGGATAGGTGACGCTCTACGAGGTGGCATGATTCTGAAATAAGAGATCAAGAATTATTAGGACTTATAGCACATATGAGGAATGCAGGACTGCCAAACCTATGCTATGATACCAAACTGACACACCCCGACTGAAATCGAGGCATGTTGGCCAATACCCAAAAGTGTCGCAACCAAAAAGGAAAGTGAAGCATAAAAAATATGGATAAATTTAAACCAAATCTAACATTTATTTAATCTAAAGTAGAGAGTGCACAGTAGTGGGAAAAACCCATAAAACACAAGTGCTCAGAGCATGGATGACAGTACGACGTAAATAGAGCAGTCGAATCTAGTTAAGATACTTATTACACCACCGGAAATAAACTCCTACATTTATTTATGGAAATGTCAGAATCGCCAGAGATCCCTCGTACGCCACAGAGAATTCAACTAAAGGCGAAAAATAGAAGGGTGAGTGGGCAAAAACAAAGGTTTATAAAACACATTTATTTTTCTGAACATACTAATCCCTCGCCGTAAAACATGTATAGTTTCCAGAAAATCATACTATATATAAGTATGAAATCAAATGCAAATCAACAATAAATCCAGAAATATGCCAATCATAATATCTCAACCATAGCATAAGAAAATCAGGTGCTCATCAACCTATACTAACACATGAGCTTATGCAGATAAGTTCTGCCATGAATAGGACTGGGTGTAATTATATTATACGTTCTAGTACTACAATCACGCGAAGACTGCCGCTAGGTGCATCACATACGAGTCCTAGCTGCTTATTGCAACCTAGGATAGGATTGGCACCTTCAATGGATCCAAGGTGAGCATGCAATGTGAACATACACGTGAAGTCTAGCCCTGGCCCAAGCGAGTACTACATCGATGCAAGCATGCATGATGAGCAAGTATAATATATATGAACATGCCATGACAATATATAAATCTCAACAATATAATGGCATTTTTAAAATTAAATAAAACATGGCATGATAGGCATAAAATCAATCCAAAAGCATTTGTGGAAAGTATAAAACTTTATATATAATATATAAAAACAAATGCCCGCTCACTGATACGTAGTCAGATCATAGCCTCCTAGCCTTGCTTCTTCTCATACCTCCTCGGGGTAATTCTCTCCCATATGTGAAACAACTATACTAATTAATTAATTACGATATACACTAAAAAGTTAGGAAAATCCCCCATAGTTTGCTCAAACGGAGGGTTTAAATATACGAAAACATTCTACACGACGTCACGGACTCGTACACGACAACCACTCGCCGCCACGAGGCCGGACGCGCCTCTAGCTCGCGACCACACGCGCGCCTACACGCAGGCCACGTGCCTGCATACGCTGGCAGATTCCCAGGGAATATTTCGTCAGATTTGACGAAATATTCTGTTAAGTCTAACGACGCTACCTAACAGCGTCAGAATATTTCGTTAACTTTAACGAAATATTATCGCTCTTCTTCGGTTGTCATTCGCCGCCGCTGTTTGGTTAGCCGGATTTCTGGAAAATTTTTAAAACTTTATATCTTCTTCATTTCTCAACGATTTTTTATGTACTTTTTATGGAAATGAAGCTTATGAAGAGGAGAACAATCTTTACCTTTTGGAAGTCCAAAAAGTGGATTAGCTCGAAGCTTTCGGACCTATTTTCAACTCCTTGAAACTGTGTGTTTTGACGTTACCTTAGCTTCAAGCGTGAACTAGAGACCTTGAAGATTTGTGTGGATGCTTCCAAATCTTCCAAAATCTTGTGACACGAACGGGAAGTCGTCGGAGAACTCACACCCGAATCAGAGCTTCGAGTTACTTCGAGTTGGAAGCTTAAAACTCAACCATTTTAGAATCAGTTCGTACATATGGACTCGTGGGGGTGAGATGAGTACGATGGTGGTGGCTTGAAGTTAGATTTGTGAGGTTTGATGATGGTGTATGGTTGTTGCATATAGAAGAGATAAGGTGTAAAGGAGAGAAAAAGAACAGAGAGAGAAAAAGAGAGGAGATAGTTTCTGATTGGTCAAAAAGAGAGGGTGTCTGATTTGGGGAGAAAACATGAGAAGTAAAATAATTGGTGGTGAGGTATGGTCACGAGACCAGTTTTTAAAATGGAAAGAGATCAGGTTTGTACAATTTGAAAGCACAAGAAATCTAACGCACCTTATCAAAAACAGTATTTCTAGCACTAAATTATTAGCACACACGTGTACAATTCTACCCGTTGTTAACGCACTTTAACTAAATGTAACTTCTTCGTTACAAATCCAATTCGGGTCTAACTCACGCTCACGCGTTTGTAACAACGAGTACTATTTATTTACGATAATGGGAAAAATAAATTAAAATCCGAATAACTACATCCACATCAGGTTCCACCTTGCCAAAAAGGGCATAAACGTCATTTTACACACTCGGGAAGGAAATTACATGGAAAATTAGGGACGGGTCGTCACATGTATATTTAAGAATGGGTACATTTAAGATTAGAAAAAATTGAAAAATTATATGAATGGGGTCCATATAAATTAATGGGTACAAATTTATTCTAATTTTATTTTTCTTGTTTTGCAAAATGTTTTGAATTGAAAATGAATTCGGAGTAAAATAAGGGTGTGAGTATTAAAACCCTAAATCAATTACTAATTTTTATTTTAAAAAATTATGCAACTGACATGTAATCCACTAATACATAATGCCAGGAACTTTGATCAAAATCTAAAAACTGATAAGATCTCAGTCAATGCACATTTTGATAGACTTTGAATGAAACTACGCCATCATTTTTTGCCTGAGAAATGTACAAGAAAATGGTAAAATTTGTTGGTCGAAAAGCAATCCCCTGCTTGTTCTCGTCTCTTGATTCAACGTTGATTTATTCAATCATGTGGCTACAACAAAGAGAGAAAAAGGCAAGGCGATAAAGAGAGTGGATACCATTTTCCTTGTCCAACTATTGAATTCAAGGGGAATAGCTTCAACGAACAAAATCTAGAGGAATCTAGAGGAACGGGATATAAACATGGAGTGCATGTTTAAATGCTCATAACACTAAGGCTACAAGCCTGTTGTGAATATCGCGTTCAAGAATGAGAGAAATAAAACAAACTCGAAATCGGAACAAAATAACCAAGATAAATAACACCAAGAACTAATGTGGTTCGGCTATATGTGCCTACGTCCATGGGGCAGCAACAACAATCTTTCACTATATCAATAATGAGTACAACGAATAATCTTGCCAAGCCTTTAGGATTAAGACTTGACTAAAAACCTGAAAGAACAAGAAATACACTCTTTATCTCTTTTCTTTTCTCTCACACACACTTTGCCCTTACAATATTCTCTCACTCCGACTTCTTGAGTGGTATACAACTTTTTGTTCTGCTCCAATTCAAAACTAGCATAATAGCCCCTTTATATAGACATGATAAAGGTCTTCTTCAATAAGGAGTACTAACCCTAATTGGAATCTAGTTATAAGGCCTTCCCCAATTGAGCAACTAACTCCAATTGGGTAAACAATTTAAATTGGATAAACAACTTCAATTGGTAAACAACTTCGATTGGGAAAAAAAACTTCAATTGAGAAAACAACTCCAATTGGGTAAACAATTTAATCATCTAATGTTAGGACAACTCATCATGGGATGGAAAGAACCTAACAAAGCCCTTGTGAATCTGTGATAACAAGTGACTTTACTGTTGCACTTTCAAATATTCTATCTAATTACGTACCAAACATCAGAGAACTTACTCCAACTCATTCTTCCTAATTTATTTGATCAATCTTAAAGGAAATCACAACATATCATATAGGTAAGCAGCCTTCATTCATGGAGAAATGACTGGCTCCAATAACTGTACTTTTTGCCTTATTAGACGGGGCATAAAAACCTAATCAAACTTTGGTGGATGAAACTCCAAATCCCAACTCTGGTGATTCGGGTGGATTCTTGGGTACAACCGGGGTTGTTATCCCCAATTAGTATCTCTCTCATCACGTGTACATCCTAGATTTTCTGAGTGACTAGACCCAGTAAACAACTAAGCGAACAGCTAGGAACTTAAGACTGAGAAAAGCAAAACATCACATGGCCAAGACACAGAGCCAAAGAAGACATAGCAACGCTATGATAGCATGATGGTCTTCCAAAAAAGAAACCACAACACATTAACTCTTAATAAAGCTCTTCGATATTTCAATCACCCATGTCTTAGAACATCATGAGAGTGTTAGATTAGCAATCGAAATTTGAGTTTATTATACTTCAGCTACAGAGAGTGTGTGAAGTTTCATCAAGATACAACAGAAAACACCAATAATTAACCCAAGTTCTTAAGAGTTAGGTCTACCTTTAAACAGAGTGCCTACAAGGATTAAAAACGAAGGTGGACAATAAAGGAAACATCCACAGTGCAGTGGAAACTTGCTCATTTCATCTTTGCCTCAGTAAATAGAACATGACGATTTACCCGAGGGTCAAATTTCCGAAACTCAAGCTTCTCTTGCACCCTACTCGGCTTCTTCTTGACATAGAAAAATCCAGTCCCAGCTGCTGAGATAAGTCGGATGAACAAGGTAGCCTTCTTCTTCTTTTCACCCATTCCTTAAACAACAGAAGAGAAAGCCAATCAAAAGTGACAGAAAACGCACGTTTCACTACACAAACAAGGGAACGTGTGCACAACTAAAGTTGTGCATCAGCAGTAAAAAACGAAATTCCTACATGGCCTTAAACATCACCCCCCAACAAAAAGGAGAATTTAATCAAGAGGAACAACAACTATCTGTAATTCAAATCAATTAAACTAGTTCTCAGAACAGAAAAACAAGTTTACAGTACCACCTCCTCCTTGACATGGCTGAGAATTTGAGATTCATTATCCCAAGCACACAAACAAGTTTACAGTACCACCTCGTCCTTTCAGATTTCTGCAACCCCACTAAAATTACCCAAATTTTATAGGAACCCCAGTTGAATTCTAAGTCACATTGGGAAAAATATTAACTGGGTTTGGAGAATCCAAGTGGGTTTTGAACTGGGTCGGATTGGTTTGGTTCTGGGTCTGATTCTATCTTCCACCAAATCACATAAATACAACAATGGTTTAATCCCTCTCGCTCTATCTTCCATAACTACTACAACCATTCCCATTTCAGAAAAAAAAAATCAGTAAGAAAATCAAAAAAAAAAATCTGAAGAAAAAGAAAAGCAGAAAGATGGAGTATTTGTAGCCAGAAATGATGAGAAGAATTTCGGACTTACTGTTCAACTTTTGTAAGCTGCAATCGCCTGAGAAGTGAGAGGTGCAAAGCCGAAATGGAGTTTGAACTCTGTAGTTGGAGAGTGAAAACCCGCACCCGCAGTGTCTTCAAGGACAAGGCCCAAAGGGTTTAGGATGGAAAGACTAAACTGCCCTTTCAATCTCCCACTACAAAGTCGCCTTGTGCGTGTGGACTTTTAACCATTTCCGAGCCTTGATTTTCAATTGGATTTCTCCGAATTAAAATTTTATTTTTTTGCTTCTAAGTTCGGATCTTTTTTTTTCATCGGAATCGATCGGAGGAGGAGCCGGATATGGCGAGCGCGGTGGACCCAGCGGGAGAACCAATCCCAACGTCGGCGGTGCTGACGGCGGCGGCGAAGCACATTCAGTTCAACTGCCAGGCCGAGAACGTGGCGTTTCTGAAGTGCAAGAAGAAGGACCCGAACCCCGAGAAGTGTCTCGACAAAGGTCGTCAGGTCACCCGATGCGTGCTCACCCTGTAAGCCAATCTCAAATCCGCTTCCTATTTTTCGTTTCACTTTTCTGAGTTTCTTATGAATTGTTACTCGTTTGTATGTGGACCCTTTTGAATCGAAACGTTTCGATGCTGTCATTTTTCTGTGAATTGTGGCTTGGTTTGGTTAAATGAGCTCAATGTGGTTCAAGGGGTTTGCAATTGTTCAAATTTTGTTGGAAATATGCAGAAATAGAACTGATTAATCGAAAAAAATACAACTGAGGGACGCTAAACAAACAATAAGTCGTATATAAACCACGGTTTGATGTAGAATTCGGAGATGGAATACCAAAATTTGTTAGGTCTAGCTGATACACTTTGTATTTGAGCACTTTTCGGGGCCAAGTGAGTGTTGATCCTCGTTGTTAGAGTCGGTTTAATCCCAATGCTTATTTGACAGGTCAGTTTTAGAACTTGTGTTAAATGCTATGAATTTTGAAATCATTAGTCTTGCTGCTATGGAGAATTATCAGGATTAATCTTTTCTTTTTCGTATATATCAACTTAATAAGTTTTTGTGGGGAGCAGATTTCAGGAACTTTGTTTCAAACCTTGTTGATTGTAGCAAGCAATGTGACCTTTTGTCCGTGTTTCCCTTGAGTTAAAGAAGAGCTTGTTTGGTAACTTTTTTCATTTTTAGGTTTCATATTTCATTTTCCTTGTATGAACAAGGGAGGAAGAATGGTGGTAGGAAGGAGTTGGAAGAAATGTGTACCGAACGGCACATAATATGGGAACCAGAAATGATTTTGAGCTGTTTTTTTCCGTACGCTCTCTTTCATTTCCCCTTCCTCGCTCCACCCTTCTTCATCCATACTATCTATACGCTCCCTGACTTTCTTTTTATCTCTATAAAAAAACTAAAAAAAAGACATCTGAACTGAAAAATGAAAGGGTTATGAAACGGACCTGAAGATACAAAACCCCTACACTGATGATGAAGGATAAATACTGTATATTTTCCTCTGTTGTAACTTGTATCTATTACAAAGTATTCAGCTCAAATAGTATATTGAACTTGGGTTTTATGACAGTATAGTGTTCCTTTGTTCAATTGCTTTCCTGTTTTTCTTCTATATTCTGAACTGTGTCTTGATTTTTTTGTTTCCCGCTTAACATATCTTCGTTGTTCAGTGATGTTTGTAGCCATCGGTCATCATTCACCTACATATGAACAATTTGCATGACTTATCCAATGGCCTAGAACGACTAGAGAGTATATCCCTAAACAGGAAAAATGAAAAACCCTACTTGTCTTGTACTTGTATGCGACACTCTAGGATTTGATTAGGATAAAAGATGTTCTGTAGACACTCCCTAACAGCCTTTGAATTGGATCAGTTCACAAGTATCATCATTCCCTTTACGTTCTCTTCTCGCAACTTGTTAAAATCTGCATCACATTTTCATATGTTCACTACTTCATATTTGGAATTTGTTGTGATTTGGTCATCCAGTTAGTTTCGTGATGTCTATGCAAACGCACGCGCCATCACGTGCCTACACTGCCCGAAAGAGGTCTGCATTGCGAGTTAAGAGTGGTACGTCTTGTTACACTTCTAAACACAAGGCACTTGTTCGTGCAGGCTGAAAGATCTTCATCGGAGGTGCACAACGGAGATGGATGGTTACGTTGGATGCATGTATTACAATACAAACGAGTTTGATTTATGTCGCAAAGAGCAGGAGGAATTCGAGAAGAAGTGCCCGTTGGCATGAGAGCTTCACCCTTATCCCGCCATCATCCCAATAATACGGGCAGTGTCAAATGAGCGAATATTGTCGCATACATTTTCCACACATCTTGTTTGTCGAGCTGAACTAATTTTTGCTTACAGGAAAATTTGCACCGTTTTAAACCATGATTGATTTCTCTTACCTGTGTTGCAGTTGCAGGTGCACTTGAGGATTAATTGGTTGTCATGAAAAAACGACTTCTTGTTTGGTCTCCTTTAAATTTTAGTATTACGAAAAAATGAGACCTACAACTCAAGACAATATTCTATCCTTTTGTCATCTTGTCGCGGGACTTAATAAATCAAAGAAAAATCAATTAACAAAAGCAAGGAGAGTGCGGAAGGAGAAACTAAAGTGCGAATTACCCGCCCTTTGCATGACAAACTACGCACGCATGGAAAAGCAAAATTGATTTTCCAACAATTGTACAAGTCGCATTAAGCTCCATAGAACTTACGCCAATTTGATTCGACTAACATAAGAATAGTTTTAAATCCATAGGACAAACTGATATGGTCCGAAACTCATATTTACCAAACATTCATGATCTTGGAGAATACCAAAGCATATCATCTAGTTAACCACGCTCAGAGTACACTTTGAAGCAGCAACCAACGTACCCGACAGGCATCAGCGAGGACTGCACAGCAAAAAATTATAGAGATTACCACCACAGCACTTAATCGACAAGCTAGTGTGTAATGAAACAGATAGGATGTGAAGATGACCGTACAGCAATAGTTGTAGAAATTATCACCACTATTACCTATTTGGTTAGACAATTTAAGTAAATAGGGTCATATCCCCACATAACTTCAGGGGACCTGTATCACCAACTACACTGAGACCAGGCTATTACCATCCGTCCTAGTAGGGACTTGGAGCGTAAACTGTTTTTCATTGGTCTAACATTCAGAATTTTGGTTAGGACATTCAGCATTAAAAGAAAGGTAAACAGGCAAAACTTTCATCCTCACCTAATCACTAGAACCAAGCCCAAAGTAATTAACAGCAGCACTCAACTTATACAACTAAATCCAACTGAAAAATAACAGAGAACGATTTGGAAGTAGATACTGTTTTCAAAATGAAGTTCACAAAAATACATTAAACTCCACTTCCATAAGGGTATCTCTCACGTAATATGAAACTATATACCGCAAAATTAAGACCATACCAAACTCCACTTCCATAAGGGTACCTCTCAAACATAATATGAAATTATATTCTGCAAAATTAAGACAATACTAAACTCCTTCCATAAGGGTACCTCTCACATATAATATGAAACTATACTCAGCAAATTTAAGACCATATTCTGTGGCCTCAACAAAGCTTATTATGATTACACTAGAAATTATTTACATGAGTACAAAGTGGAAGAGGCATCTACCTGTAGGATCGCGAACAAGACCTTGGCGGACTGCAACTGTTACCCCTAGGACTCCTTGATCTGCTGGCTGCATACTCCCTCACATCACGAATACTCCGACCATTCTCCCTGGGACTTGGGGACTTCCTGTAGTCTCTACCATCACAAGGACTTCGACCATTCTCTCTAGGACTTGGGGACCTCCTGTAGTCTCTTCCATTCCGTGGTGAGGGAGATCGTGAAATTGATCTAGATTGCACTGGCGAGCGATAATCATCCCTAGCACGACGGTCCCTTCCAATGGAAAAAACACCTAATTATATATTGAAAAAAAATGGAGATGCAGCAAGAGAATAAAATAGAAATATTCCAAATGAATAAGAGATGCACTAAACCCATCTCCATTTTTCACAAGAACAAAACTTCCCCGATTAATAATCTAATACACGTGCACAAGCAAAAGTAAGTTAAGCACAGATCAACAATTCAGAACCAATTATCTGTTTCAAGATAACAGAACAACTACTTACATCCTCTTCAAATCTAATTGATCAAGATATAACCTTTACCTGAACCTTTACAGGGTTCTGAACAAAAAATATGACACTTGGTCCAAACACTCAAGAGTTAGGCTAGTACTGGTTTGATCAGCATCTGACAACTTCATAGCTCACTTTGCCCCAACTTTCTAAAACCAGATAATATCTTTTCCTTCAACATGTCACCATACTCTACCGGTAAAAACTTTGAATGGCTTCGTTTCTTTGTAGATGAATTCTTTCTTTGGCCAACTATAAGCTTTATATTCTTTCTTTACTGGATGGTATATGCAAAACAAGATATCAAACTTAACAAATTTCTCGTTAAAAACTTACTTAGCTAATATAAGAAGGAAAAATAAATAAATATTAGTAAACATTCCGATATCTCTAACACCCAGTTAGCTTGTAAGTTCAGTCAGTCGTAGAAAGTCTCACAAACCGAAGTCATAACAATAGGAACCCAATGCCATTTGTGGATGAAAGTTGATGGTGGATACAGATAGTACTTATGGAGACCATTGGTGGAAGGTAAAGAAGTTGCCCGTCACTTTTATGATCTCTTTTCTCATTAAACTTTACTAATCCAAAAGTCTTTAAATTATATCTGCATAAACAAGGCCACCAGAAAATATTATACAATTCATTCTCTCTACCTATAAGAGTTCTCATTCTGTAATTTCACCAGAAACACAGGTATGTGAACATAAAAGGTGGATTTAGATATATTTCAATGAAAATATGATCACTCTAATGTACTCATCCATGAAAACAAGCATTGAAAAACTATAACCATTGATCCATTTTGGAAAATATTATATCACCACGTGAACGTATCGCTGATGAATCTACCACACCTTTGAAAGGAGTAACCACCCTACCATGCAGATTACAACAGTATTATAGAAATGAAACAGTGTTAATGAATAAAAGAAGAATCTAGAGATAATATACAGACCTTGAGTAACGCCTAACAGGTGATGGTGATGGTGACGGCGAGTAAGCTGTGACCAAAAACATTTGATGATGACTTAGAAGAAAGTAGGAGCAAATCATTTCACAAAGGACTTCAGAAAAAATAAAAAATAAAATCTTGCATGTCATTCAGAAGAAGCCAAGTGAAAGTTAAAACCGACAACGATATTGCCGTCTTGGGGACCTCAGTGGAGTTCTCCTTCTGGAGCTTCCTCCATGTCGACTACTGCAGATAAATAGAAAATAAAATAAAAATCACATTTATAAAATGAATATCTAATTATATTTAAGAAGGCATGCCAAATACAACGTACCTTACGCGAGTAGTTGTGCGCATTTCTTGAGGAGTTTTTCTATTCTCCTCAGCAAACACAATTCTTATCTCACGCCCACCAATAACTGTATGATTCAACTGTTGCTTTGCTTCCGCTGCATCCTCACCAAAACGGTACTTCACAAACCCAAAACCCCGTGGCTCCCTTCGAATTGAAAGTAAAAAAAGTGAGTCAAAATAACTTAAATTTGTGTTATCCAGAAAATTCACAAATATGTCCACTTTCACAGACGTATCTATTCCAGAGTGCAAGTTTTACACCATTGAACCACAGCAGAAAAGAAGAATCACATTACAACTTTAGCATAATTAACACTATAACAATCAAGAATCGCATACCCCGTGTAGTAATTCTTTGGAAGATACACATCCTTTACCGGGCCAAATCGCTCAAATGGGATCCTAAGATCTTCTGGCCTGCATAAAACAGATAAACAATGAATAAGCCTAGATGTTCAGTAATGGAAATTATCATGAATCCGTGCTTTGGGGTTAAAAGACTTGTCGTAATCAACTCAATTAGCCGAAGGATTAAGTCTATAACCATGGAAAATCAAGTTATTCTTCGATAATATACTTGTATTAACCAGAGATTAACACAAAATTGTAGATTTAGAAAAGTAAAGCACAAAAAATACAAAAAAGAAAATCATTACCACCCAATTTTAGTCACGCATTGGAAGAATAACCACAAACAACATGATTAAAAATCTTGACTGACAAAAACCAAAATATGCATATAAATACAAACATATATATACATGCAGACAGAGAGAGAGATAGATACCTAGCGTCGAGAGGGAGATTGCGAACGAGCAAGCCAGAAGGGGCGGGTGAGCTACGGTCTCTGTGAGACCTACTGTCACGGCGTCGATCACGCGGCTCGTCGTCGTATCGCTTGCGTCCACGCGGCGGAGTCCGGCTGCGCCGACGAGGGCTGTAGCTTCTGCTTCGGCTTCTGTACCTGGCCATTGTTGCAGCTAGGGTTTGAACCCTGAGCGCGAAAAACCCTAACCCTAAGTCCCTAGTACGACAGTGGAGAAGAATAGAGTGCGGTGCAGATATCGATTCAGGGAGTGTATTGAATTAGATTTTAAAATATTTAAGGGGGCTTGTTATATTAACACCTCACTAATTATTGAATAAATTTCACATATTTACTACACCTTATATTTGTTTTTTCAATTAAAATTTATCTTAATACACTCTATCATACTTTCTCATAATACTCTCACACCTTACACTATCAACATACACTTTGTATTTTCTTCCCCCAATATTTTCTGTATACGCTTCACACTCTTCACACCTAGGTGCAAGTGAAAGATCATGGAAGTATCCTTCTCGTTTCAAGATCATGATGTGTGCAGAGAGACATATGGAGAGAGCCATAAGGTATGTCTAGCTCTTGGGTGCCTGCGTTGCTTTAATAAACAACTCACAAGAGACCAATGGAGCAGAACTTATTTGGTATTGTACAATGTGGCTTCGCTGCTAAGAGTGCTCATTTGTCACATAATTCAATGGTCCTCCCTGTAAACATTTGAGTTAAACGGAATTTATGTTTGTCTTCTACTCAAGTAGTTGAGAGGTGTTTCTTGAAAGATGAAACTTCAAACAAACAAGGCAATCAAACTAATCAAAGGACATTGAAGGTTCGAATCAAAATGAACCATGATAACACAGCTCGGAAGAATGTAGCAATATATAGTGGTCTTGGACTTGGCTCTCCATCTTCATATATGGAGAACAGCCCTGATGAAAGTAAGGAGATGATACCTCCATCTCAAGTGATTGTGGAAGCCTCTCCCACTAACATTAAAGTAAGAAAATATATTTTAGTGCAATTTCTATTGCTGCAAATGAACTTAAAATGATATGTTGCATTGATGGGCGTTGTTTATGTTTTGTAACAAGTTAT